AATCAAATTCATAGATGACTATATTGAGGGGGATGTGCAGAGGGGAAGGTAATGAAGTGTAAAATGGCTACACCGAGAAATAGGTGCAGAAGTATATTGTGTAAACAACAAAAGAAAGAGCCCAAAGAGTTCAAAGGGGTCCCCTCTGGGGAATGAGTTGGGGAGGTGGAGGGTAGAGTGAGGAATGCTGCTCTTCATTATAAGCCTTCTAGCAACAGTTAATATTTTAAAACTTGAGAATGAACTCCCTTGTCAAAAATAAAACATTTTAAATAATTTAAATTATTTATATAACTTTTATAACCCTGTGTTGGCATTTCTTCATTTTTAAGTATAGTAGAAACCTAAAAAAAAGTATGACTGGCCCTTTGCACCTCTGAGCTGTGGCTTGGAGATGTGAGGGGTCCCCTGCTGCTCCTGCATCGGCTCCCCACAGAGAAGGGGGAGCCCTACTTACTCTTTGAGAATCATAGGTTGGTCTGGGCCCCCAGGTCCCAACCTGAGTGAAGGCCAGAGCCTGGGGTGGGAGTGGTAGAAGATCCTCAGCTTTTGAGCTGGCTAAGGAAGTCAGGAGGAGGCCTACCTGTGGGACTGCCCCAGCTGCCGCTGCTGCTGCTAACAAGGCCCTAGGGAGCTGGCAGGGCACCCCGCCCGGCCCCAGCGCTCCACAAGCTGCCTGCCACTCCCCCCCTCAGGTGTCTCAGCTCCAGGCTTCAAAGAGAGGCTGGCACTGCCCAGGGGACCTCCCCACCCCCACTTCCCAGGAGCTCTCCCCAACAGCCCTCCCTGGGGCACTGCTGTTTTCCAGGGCCAATGTGGACCTCCCCTATACCAGCCAAGCCCCAAAGAAGCTCTCTTCACCTGGCCAGAACAGGGCCTGTAGTGCAAGTGGCACCTTGCCCTGAGCCCAGGTGGCAGAATTCATTAACCTCCTCAGCAAAGGCCTACAGCTACTTAATTGCTGGAAAGAAAAGGTTTCCCCTGAAACCCAACACTCAGCTGTCCCCACCAAGAGAACAGAGACTCCACACCCCAGCAGGCCTCAGCTGGAGTCAGAGCTGGGGTCTCTGGAGCTTAGGAGCTGGGGCTCCCTGTGTGCATGCACACACACGTCCATGCTAGTGTGCACAGGTACCATAAGGGTGCACACTCACATGTACTTCTGCCTGCACACACCCAGTACATGTGCATCCTTAAGCATGCAAGCATATGCATGCCCAGCTGACCTCTGACACTGCAAAAGTCTACTCATGTGTAATACACGTGTTGGTTGCCAGCATATCTGCACATGAACACATCTCACACCCACATGCACTAGCAGGGTATTTTTTAAACTCCTTAGCATTAGCAGAATCCTTTTGTCAAGTGAAATCTTTTTTTTTTTTTTCCTTTTTGTCTTTTTTTTTACTGACCGGCAACGGGATCGCAACCCTCGGTGTTACGCCCGCACCGCACTCAGCCAGTGAGCGGGAACCGGTCTCCACATGGGATCCGAACCCTCGGCGGGAGCGCCGCCGCGCTCCCAAGTGGCACACTCTCCAGTGCGCCACCGGGCCGGCCCATTGTCAAGTGAAATCTTAAAAGCACACACCAAACCTATAGACTAAACGTGGGTGCCAGAGAAGAAGGGTGAGGGACCAGAGCGTGCGTGGGGCCTTGCCCGCTCAGCCCCTTCACAGCCGCCAGGAAGACAGCTGGAGTCTGGCATGGGACAAGTATGTGTCTGTGGGGACAAGTATGCTAGAGTTCCCTCCGGGGAAGGGAGGCAGGATGCTTCCCCAAGCTGAGCAGGAGGCTACAGGCAAGCGGGCAGGTGGGGGCAGCACCCAGCTAATGCTCCCTCCGCCCTTTCCATCCCACCGCATGCAACCCCTCCCTCTCATCCCAGAACACATTGATTTTTGGTTTCTGGGGCTTGTGGCTCCCTCTCCTGAGCTTCCTAGCTCACCAGATGTGGTGATGCCCCACACTCAGGACTGCCCACTTTAGGGGGAGGGAAGGGCCACAGATGCTCCCCAAGGTCCTGGACGACTGGCATCTTCTGTCTGAGCATTTGGGGCCCCACAACCCCGTCTCATCTACCAGGTCAGAAGGACAAATGGGGAAAGCAGGAAAGAGGACCACAGCAGAGGCAACCCCAGAAAGATGGAACATGTTTCCCTGGAACCACAATGTGGTCCCCTTCAGAGTTCCTGCTGTCAGGGGAAGAATCCCGCTGCCCTGGAGCTCCCAGGGAGCTGTACGGTCTAACCCTGCTCCCCACCCCCAGGGAACACAAGGGACTCGTGACTACAGAACCAAGGCCATGCTCAGCTGACTGTGCCAACCTTGGGGCCGTGCCCAAAAAGGGGGAACTGGCATATCTCTTGGCCTATACCCCCTGTCCCTCCTAGCCTGACAAGGCCTGTGCATGGCAAGAAGCATGGCACCAGCAGCCACAGCACTGCCAGGTGCCAGTGAGGGGTGGTCGTGGCCCTCTCCCTTCACCAAAGCACCTCCTCCCTGTCCAGTACTCCCTGCTTCCAGCCCCTGGAAGAGCTACCAGGGGGCTGGCAAAGCCCATTAACCTGCTCTGAAGGCTGCCATGCTATCCCCCTCCTCAGCCAGCTGGCATTGCCAAGCCTGCCCACAGGAGGGCCTCTGCAGGGCTTTCTTGGAGTGAAGAAGAGGCAGCTATGCCAAGCGGAGACCAGGGAAACCCAGCTGCTGAGTGCTTGAGGAAAGCCTGGCTGTTTTCTGTGGCGACTAGTGCCAGGAGGAGCAGAGGTCAGGGACCCCCGTTGGGATGCCAAGGGTTGGCAGGGGTTTCATCATGATGTTTTGTGGGTGCCCCAGGTGCATCTCCTGCCAGAACAGAGCCTGATGCCCCAAGGACTAGGCAGTGCACATTTGGATGCAGGCGTCACTCTGGGTCAGTCCTGGAGTTGGCGTACGGCCAGGGGCCTCTCCCACCCAGACTGACCAGCATTCCCCTTCTTGGCACCTCTGAGAGAAGGAGAGAGCAGGCCTGGCTCCTTTGTGGCTGAGTGAGGGTTAACCTCCAAGGGTGCCCTATATTCCCCCATATTCATTTCAAAGAGACATTAACTCACCAAGACTGGGACAGGGATGAACCTGGTACCTGGTTTCTATGGCAGCCTGAGGGGAGGGGAAGATGAACATGCTCAGCAGCCCCAAACCACCTCTCTGCAGCAGCTCCAGTGCCCCCACCCCAACCTTACCCCAGCAAGATGGCTGCGGACTTCAGGACTATCAGAGAGAGGCCTAAGTGAAAAAGTCTTTTCTTCCATGTCATCTGCCTCTCTCCAGTCTCTGAAGGAAAAGGACCCCCCAATCTTCAGGCAAAGGAGTGGGACTGAGGCATTCTGAAGATTCAGTCTCTAGCCTTGTGCTTAACAATCCCTGGACCTTCCAGAAGTTCCTCGCAGATCAGACTTAGATCCCTCCAGCTGTAACCTCTGTCAGAGGCTTGTCTTCTTTCACAGGGGAGGAAAGCAGAGAAGAGCCAGAAGAGACTGAACTGTGTCTTAGAACTGTCTGTGTCTTAGCACCCCACACATCATCAGAACAGAGTCTCCTTCAGGGCAGGGGCTGGAGCCTTATTTGTTCATCTTTGCTTCCCTAGGGCACTCTGACTTCACACCCTTTACCAGGCTTCTTGGCTGCAAACCACTTGCCTTGTGACAGATAAATAGAGACACAGAGTGAGGAGCAACTTGGAGAATACTTGTGTAAGCAGAGGTAGAAAGGAAGTGGACACCCAAACCAGCCCAGGGGCTTGCAGGCACAGATCACCCCCATATTTACTGGGACTACTACGCAGAGCTGGATGCCATGCTGTCCCGGAGGGTCCACTGTGAACTTCAGAGACATACCTGGGCCCTCACAGTCTGATGTTCTGCCCTCCACCTCCACTCTTGCCTTGGGAATTGGACAGCTCTTCAGACTGAACTTCCTGGGACTCAGGAAGTGGCCCTCAGAATGTAACCCCCCACAGCCCATGGCCCCAGGGTCTCAGACCAAGTCTAGAGGTGTCACCCTGAGGCAATCCAGAGCAGGCTGGGCCCAGCGCTGGCTCTTACGGCCCAGCGTAAAGGGTGGATCCTCTATGCCACGAGTGCCTACCTGTGGCCTGGGTGCCAAGGGTAGAACTGGGGATTATCTGTGGCCTGTGCCTGTCTTTGTACTGAAGAATGGCCAGAAGACCCTACCCCTTCTCCTGTTTTCTTAGAGGCCACTGCCCAGCCCAAAGCTGGCTGACCCACCTGTCCCCACTGACTAGCAGGAACCAAGGAGCCCACTCTGTGTGCAGAACCTCAAGTCCTGCCTGTGCCCAGTGCCCCTAGCTCCCTCAGCGACTAGAAGCCAGGCCCCAGCACCACAGGGTAGGAGAGCGCCTTTCAGCACCTGGACAAGGCCCTTGGGGCTCCCCAAGAGGGTCTTTCTCCACTCCCGGTTTCTGAGCAGGGGCTAGAGTCTGAGGGCTCCAGGGGCTCTGCCCAGTCAGAGCGAAGAGAGAAAGCGCTCACCAGGAGAGGAGAGGGCACTGGGTGGGGCGGGGGTGCTTGGGAGCGTCACACAGCCTGTTCCCGGATCCTTCACCTGTGGCCCCCTCCCCACGCAGGCCTTCCCCACCTCCGCACACACGCGGGAGGTGCCGCTCGACGGAGTGAGGCGGCCTCTCCCACCACATGCAGCACACCGAGCCGGCAGCCCCTCCCAGCAGCCCGCACTGCCCCAGCGGAGGAGGGGCACAGTGTCCCCTATCCCCATCTGGGAGGGTCCGGAACACGTGTGGGCCGCCCGTCCCGGCCGGAGGGGAGCGGGCGGGGGCCGCTCCCATCACCCTCTCCCGGTCAACAAGCACAAAAGCCGCGGTTGCAAACAAAGAAGCGCTGCAAACTCGCCGGGGAGGCGGGACAACTCGCGCCGCGCCCCCTCCCCACGCCGGACGGGCGTGCCCGCCTGGGGTCCCCGCGGCGCCCCGACGGCGCTCTTACCTGGCCGGCGCGGACCTCCTTCTCCAGCTCGCGGTGGCGGTTGTGCCACACGAGGTAGTGCAGCGGGTACTTGCCCTCGGGCCCCTTCCTGGCGGAGGCGTTGGCGGGGATCATCGCCCGCTCCTCATGCCGGGGCCGCGGCGCCCGGCCCGGGGGGAGGGACGGCGCCGGAGCCGGGGCCCGGGGCCG